ATTTTACAAGGACAGTCACCAGTCCTACATATATGAATATGATGACAGTAGAATAATGGGGTGGAATAAAGTAGAAACTGGAGCATATAGTACAGTAGGCTACATTCGTCACGTATTCACTTAATTTAGTGATTCATATGATTAATTTGAAATATATTTCACTCCGTTATTTAATGAACATACGGTACGTCTTCGTATCAGCCGCAATCACTGAAGAGGTGGTTCCAGTTACCTAGTATACACAGTACATATCTGAATAATTACTAAGATCTTTCAAATAATGAATGAATAATGAATTCAATTCTCATGTGTTTTCTAGAGTGATAAGTCCCCGTCAATTATTATGACAGTACAGTATATGAAATTATCTGGCGTATAATTTAACTAATTGTTTTGTCACGATATATTCCTCTGTCATATAATTGGAACAGTATAAAGCTTTGCTTACACTATCAAATGTATGTGACAAAAATGTGATGTGCCCATATATCGGTACGATGACGTCATATCACATATTATCAAATTGTATCAAAAACAATTGAACGTGTTCAACACACAAATTTCATCAAAAAAGCATAAAATGTGATGAAACATAAGAGTTGAACACGTTCAACATTTTTTTAATACAATTTGATAATCGTACCCATATATGAGTACATCACATTTTTTTTGTCATATATAATTTCATAAGTATAGACAAAGCTTTATGTTCCATCACATTTTATGTGACGCTCTTTCGATGAAATTTGATAGTGTCAAGGGAAGTAGGAGTTTAAGACCATTTAGATGTAATTTATCACAAGCTTTCGTAGACACAGATACTTATTCAGGTGAATGATAGGTGGAGTAACATAAAACCATATAAATAGTATAAAAATAAAAGGCGGATAATAAACAATAGGTCTATACAAAAAAAACTCAAAGAAACAAGCATGAGGGTGGGGGTAAAAAAGCAAAATTCAGTAAGTGAATCATTATCTGTAACGAGTCTTTGTTTAAACATAACGGATTGGTTATAATGCGACTCGTTTTGTCACGACACCTTTATATTCACTGTGTTTTTAAATGACTTTAAAGTTAAAATTCAAGGTTTTATTCCCTCTTTAAAACGTTCAGGTATTTTTTTTTCATTCTTATTACAGTAAATAGGCCTATGTTTGTATATACATAAACAAAATTGAGTAGTTGCATACGTATTCTTTTTTCCCTGAATCAATTAGAAGCTTTCCCGACTTCTAATTTTTTCCCTTGTAACAAACACAAAATCAGCTAACGGGTCCTAGAAAGGTCTATATATTTGTTTCGCACAAGGAGAGGGGGAGGGTCAGGACCCCCTGAGCCCCCTCCAGATTCGCCAACGGTAAAAAAGCAAAACGTGGCACTGTTTGTATTTCTGTCTTTTTAAATTCATTAAATGTATTCCCATCTAATTCAGTTGAGATCAAACTAAATTGATTTTAAATTGAAATAAAGACTGTTGAGATTACTATCACAATCTTTCGTATATACTTCCGCAGACGAACTGGAATAACATGCAATCTATATAAACAGTAAGAAACAAAGGACATAATAAACTTATAGGTTGCCATGAAAATATGAGCCAAGATATCATTACATACTCTTGCCTTAAACATTTTATAAACACTGTAAACATGTTTTTTAACACTCACCTGTGGTTATAGTTGTTTCTCTTTCGATGAACGAGTCCTGTGTCTGTAATTGTTGCAGAGTCGTTTAAACACTTTAAATTAACTACCGGGTAATTATTAGCTTTGGGGGGATCATTACCTTCATGGTGCACCAACAAGAAGTCATCGTGTTGAACACTTTCCCCCTTGTAAAGGAAATACAATGACACTAGAACGAATACACCAACGAATATAGTTTGGAGTAAATAATTGGTTCTGCAACTCATTCTCGGTTGTCTTCGATAACATTGCGTTCGAAGGGAGATCATGAAGTTAATATTGCCCTGTTCGTTACTTTGTATTTGCTTCTTGGTTGCTCTAATTGATTTTTGTTTGGGATTCTGTTTCTTTGCTCTATTATCTCGTCTAATTATATACAGTACATACAGGAGGGGAGGAGTGGGTCTTTAGTTTGCGTATACCAATTAGCTATTCTGCTTGCCTTAGCTCACGGCCCTCAGTCACTTGGTAAATTTAGAAACTTCCACTATTTCTATAGGGGCTAAAACATAATTAATATAATAATTATTATTAACCATGTATTTACCTTGAGGTCGTTTTCTATAATATATAACTATATTCAATACGGTACAGTTCAAACGGAAAAAAAAGATTCATTTTTATGTTAAAAACAACCGTCAATCATCGACAGACACCCCAAAACACTAATCGATGAATCTACGTATTCAACAACAAAACTAGAATTCAATTATCATCACTGTACTAATTTCATTGTTTCTTTTTTGTAGTTTATTATTCAACAAAAAAAAATAATAAAGAATTTAATTACCATATTTATTAAGCGATTTGCATTTTTCCCTATTTATTTATTTATTATGTACATGTTTCTCCGTTTGGAGGCTATTTTCTGAAAAAAATTGAATTGTATTTGAATTACTTTGAAACAGAAATTGAATATGTAAGTGGGCTTCGTTAGTTCATACACTACCGTATATTATACGGGGCGTCGTTTGGGACACTGCTAGTTATGTCTTTAAATAAGACTACTTATTCTGTATTTCACCAGTTAGGCCCAGTACGATATTGAACCATTATATACTTGCATTCGGACTCTTTAATACAACGGATTTGCATTCGTGAAACCCATTCCGTTGAATAAGAGCAGACTACGAGACCGTGACATGCCGTAAGCCTATTGTCATAAATAATTAATATAAAAATGCTTTTTTTCTATCTTTCATTGTTTAAAAAAAAATAATTGAACTTTCAGTACACCATGTGTAAGGATGAACGGTTTTTTTAAAAATATAATATTATATATATTTTATTATTGATACTCGCCATTGATTTTTTTTGTTATAAAAACAGGCTATAAAATTGGCTACAAAATGTTGTATATGATACCATTAATGTTATTTAATAGTTTTATATACTATTTAAATAATATTTGTACTGTACATACAATTACATTGTTATATGTTATATTACAGTAGAGTCCAAATTACTGTAAAGAGGAATATCCACACACAAATCCATCCGCTAATACCCCCTCAACGACAGTGCTGTTGAGGTGTGGTTGTTCGTGTTTCTTACGCCTTACTACACCACCACCATGTCTCGCTCGGTCTTTGCTCGTTCGTACTGTACCTTGTTTCTTCGGGTGCATCCGTGGCTGTGCATCCAACCAACTTGATCCTGGATCAACTTACATGGGTTGTTGTCTAGGCTAGCCCTAGCGGTGTTTGTTATGAGGATGTCTGCTGGAGAGATAATCGACAGTAGTATTGACGATAAAGAACATATTTGGAAGGACCTGTTTGTAGGGAAATCTTCTGACTATTGTGGATATGTCCATTCAATACAAGATGCATATAGTATCGTTAGACATTACGAAAATGAAATGAACGCAAAGTTTACTACTCGTTTTTCTAGGCACAACCAATTTGGGGAAACAGGTAAGGGCCGAGGGTTATTTAGCTTACGCTAGGCCTAGGCGATTTTATGCAGGGCCTAGCTAATGGCATTGTAAGCCTGTAGCCTAGACTTTGTTGGCTAGGCTTAGGCCTAGACCTAGGCTGAAAAAAAAAGCATTATAATTTATATTTCTTAGTCTGAGCAACTATTTTACAAAACTTGTGTTCAAAATAACAAAACGGCCTCAGGCCAAAAAAAAACAAAAACAAAAACAAAAACAAAAAAATACTGTTGAAAATCTTTTCATGGATGCACACTCTCTCTTTCGAAGTGTCAGTAATAATAGGATACCTGGGAATACGTCAGACGCTGGCATCGTTTATGTAGTCAGCAGACAAACGAAAAATTGACACAGATTAAAGCTGAGAAATACTCAATTACCAAACAAAAGCAATATTATTTATTATTAGACCTAGGCCTAGGTCTAAGCTTAGGCCTATAGGCCTACCCAGACATTTTTGGTATTTTCGGCTTCTTTCTGAAAATTTGGAAGAATTTGACAAAATTTGGGAGACTCCTGATCAAATCGGAAGTGTTGGAACGTATGTAATCAATTAACAAAACATGTGAAGTGGCCGCCGCTCCAGGATATTGAAAGAGGGAGAGTGTGGTTGCTAAAGCACCCATTCAAAAAAACTGCTCCTACTACTACTACTACTACTACTACTGTGACTAGTAGTAGCCTACTACTACGATAGGATGGTGGGTGGGTGGATGCCTGGGCCTAAAACTATGCTATAGCATAACACTTCCATAGAAAGAGTGAATTATGTCAAGGATAATTAAATATTTTAAGGAAGAAATTCCTCAAAAATCAGCTACATTGTAAGTTACATAGTGTAAGAAAACAATAAGAAGACAATCCATTCATGTAGTTGTCTTATTTCTAGCCATTTTGTTTTTTTTCAGATCTGCACAAATCAAGTCACAGGGTTTACTGGGATTTGTTACAACGACCAACAAATGCACAAGACAGCGAGCCTGTTATCTTCTTTTCTGCCTCGGATGAAAACTGTCCGTATATCCATGTCAATAGTAAAGACATGCTCTGTGAATATGGGGAAGATATGCAAGTGGCTAGGAAGTTAAAATATAGAGACAACATAAGCAAAGTAAATGAGATGTTTATCTGGCATTCTTCATTA